GGGGGGGGGGGGGGGGACTGGGGACAATGATTGCATTTGGTTGCAATCATTGCGATGCAGGACGACGGGACGCTGCTGGGCATAGCGAGTGTGTTTGGGTCCGTCAAGTGCACGCAGGAGGCCGACAACGTGTGCATCCTCCAAAGGCCCAGCAACAGCGCGCCCTACGTCGACATCAAAAAGAACCGATTCGCCGGTCAGCGTCACGCAGCCAGCGGAATGCGATGCGATGCGCACCCACTATGAACCATGTGTGTGTGTGTGTGTGTGTGTATGTGTCCGTTAAAAACATTCACACAGGTGAGTTGGGTCGAGTAAGCTACGTGTTCGACAAGGAGTCGCTGACGATTCAGCAGCTGGATGTGCAGAACAAGGAGTCGTGGCGGCCGTCGCCCGAGGAGCTGCGGGCGGTGCAGGCGGCCGCCAAAGGCCGCCCATCCATGGCCGCACACCACGACCAGCTCGCTCGCCTGCAATCCATGACACCTGGCGGCAGTGGGTAGGCCACTGAGATGAGAGCCTCCTGGCACCGACAGACAGGATGTCTCCACTTGTTTCTTCAGGCATGCGCGTCCGCCGCCCTTCAGCCCTGCTCGTGACGTGATGACTAACGTCAGGTCCATGCAGCAACAGCAACAGCAGTCTGCCAATGAAGCTGAGGGTGACCAGCAGCAGCAGCAGCAGCAGCGGGCGCAGCATGTGCCAGCCCAGGCCGTTGATGCGGCTGTCCACCCGACCAAGGCGCCCTCCCGTCGCAAGACGGCCGCATCCACCACCACATCAGCAGCAGCAAAAAGGGCCGCCACAGCCAGCAAGAAGGCAGCCCCAGCAGCAGCAAAGGCCACCAAGGCCACCAAGACCGCCGCTCGCAGGCCGGCCACGGCTGCTGACGATGGGAGCGGCCAAGACGAGACGGTGGCCTCCTCTGCCCCTCCCCCTCCCCCTCCCTCCGACGCGCCTTCCCAAGTGGCCGTCACACAAGACGAAGACCCCGACACCGATGACAGTGACAGTGATGATAGTGATGATGGTAGTCAAGTGGGTGTCGCGCAGACGTCCTCTCTGCTGACGTTTGGCCGTGGCAGCCGCCTCGGCCTCGTCGGCACACCAACCGCTTCATCTTCATCTTCTTCGTCGTCTTCCGTCGGCTCGCGGCGGGACCTCACCGTCCCGAGGGCACAGCAGCACGGAGGCAGCGGCTCCTACGACATGGGAGGCCTCTGGTCGCCAGCACCGGCCATGCCCTCCCACACCCTGCAGATGAAGGTGTCACGCAAGCATCCCCATCGGCAGCTGGAGATGTCTCGCCCGTCGCACCCCACCAGCACGGCGCTGCTGGAGCCGTCGCAGAGCACATGGCAGCATGTCCACCACCACCCCAACCTGCCCACAAGCGGACACACCTCTGTCGACCGAATTCGGTTCGCCGAGATGGACGACGAGAAGCATGCCGACGAGATCGCCATCGACAGGGATGCACTCGAGCGACAGTTCGCCGTCCCCACAGCGGCGGAGACGGCGGCCGAGGCAAACACGACCACGGATGTCACTGAGATGCCCCCCATGGCCATCGAGACCACGGTGTACGACGAGCAGCAACAGCAGACGCCCGCCATTGACACGGCAGATGAGCAGGGGCAGGGTGATGATGGCATTGCAGATGAGTTCGAGGGTGCAGAGGTGGAGCTGTCTTCGATGAAGATGACGGAGCTGCGTGTGCTCATCAAGGAGCACGGCCTTGACGTCAAGACGGGCGGCCGCAGCAAGCAGCAAGTCTGCATCGACATCCGCCAGGCCCTGGGGCTCCCCGCCGCACCGGCCACTGACTGCTCGTCCGCCCACGCCACCATCCACCACTACAAGAGGGGCAAGAAGGAGGACCAAGACCACCCACACCACACGGACACCCACACCATCCCTGGCTACACCCTGACGCTCTCACCCTCCTCCCGTCTGCAAGACATGCGGGCCGTCATCGATCAGGAGGGCCTCGACATCAAGTCCGGCGGCCGCAAGAAGTCAGCCGTGTTGGGCGACATCATTGCGGCTCTCAAGGTGCGCTACAGCAAGAGTGGCACACAGCTGCACCCACTGCCCACGATCGACCAAAGTGCCGATGAGGCCGGCCCCCAAGCACAGCAGAACACCACATCAGCCTTCCTGAGTGTGGACCCGGAGGAGCTGGTGGTGTTCGGTCCGCCCGAGGACGAGCCCTTCCACGACGACCTCATGTCGCACTACTACTACATCCAGAGCCCGGCGGCCCTCGACAAGGCCGCACACATCATCACCAACGCCTCCCTCGTCGGCGTGGACATCGAGACCACCGGGCTGGACCCGCTGAGCGAGTGCAAGATCCGCCTGGTCCAGCTGGCCGTCGAGGGCCACCCCGTGGTCGTCATCGACGCCTTCAAGGTGCCCCTCGACAGCCCCTCGATGCAGCCTGTGCGGGACATGCTGGCGTCCCCCGACGTGAGAAAGGTCTTCCAGAACGGCAAGTTCGAGGCCAAGTTCTTCAAGACGGTAGGGTACAACATCTCGACGCCTCTGCTGGACACCATGATAGCGTCCAAGCTGCTAGAGGCCGGCAAGGGCAAGATCGGCTTCAGGCTCGACCATCTCGCCGAGCGCTACCTGGGCATCTACCTCTCCAAGACACAGCAGAGATCCGACTGGGGAGCGGACCTCCTCACAGAGGAACAAATCCTCTACGCTGCACGGTAAAAAAGTCGGCCAGACAGACTGACAGACAGACAGACCCAATGGTCCTCAGTCTCTTGATCTCTCTCTCTCTCTCTCTCTGTGTGTGTGTGTGTGTGCAGCGACGCGAGTGTGTTGCTGCCTCTGCGTCACGTGTTGGTGCACAAGCTGCAGGAGGCCGATTTGGTGCAGGTGGCGTCTCTCGAGATGCGGTGCATGCTGGCGGTGGCCGACATGGAGCTCAACGGCCTGGGGCTCGACCAGGACAAATGGCGGGTGCTCGCCGACGAACTCAAGGAGAAGGAACGAGACGTAAGGACACACACACACACACACACGCATGCCGACCCATGGATGGACGGATGGATGCGCTTGGGTGACTTAACGCGGGTGTGGTGTCTGTCTGTCTGTATGTGGTTTGTGTGTGTAGGTGCTGGCGAGGATGCGCGAGACGATGCATCTCGACAACGACACCGTCATCAACTTCAACTCACAGCCACAGGTACCCACTCACACACCCGCATCCATCCATCCATCCATCTGTCCGTTGTGGTTGTTGGTCAGCTGCTGCAAGTGTTCCGGAACCTGAGCATCCCGGGGCCTGACGGCACTGGGGAGATCCAGGACACTAACGACTTCACGCTCAACAAACTGCAGCAGTACCCAGCCATACAGGCTCTTCGGTGGGGTGTTTGGCTTCAGCCACACACACACACACACACACTCTCGCTGGATGGATCTCACGTGTGTATGTGAGTGTGTGGCGTCTTGGCTGTGTGGTTGGATTCTGTTGAGCAGTGACTACCGGAAGGTGTCCAAGGCCATCCAGGCGTTCGTCGACAAGCTGACCAAATTCCTCAACCCGCGCACAGGTCTGTCACACACACCCACCCACACACAGCCCCCAATCGCCCTCTTTGTGCCTCAGGCCGCATCCACCCCAACTTCAACCAGAACGGTGCCGAGTCGGGTCGCTTCTCGTGTGACTCGCCCAACCTGCAGCAGATCCCACGGGACCCTCGCTTCAGGAGCTGCTTCGTCCCCAGGCCCGGCCACAAGTTCGTCATTGCCGACTTCTCGCAAATCGAGCTGCGCATCGCTGCTGACCTTGCCGAGGACCAAACCATGATTGAGGCTTATGCCAAGGTCCGTCCGGCCGCAAGAAAGACACAATGGCTCTTCTGTGAACTCTGTGTGTGTGTGTGTGTGTCTGTGGTGACATATAGGGTGAGGATCTGCACAAGTTGACGGCCAGCTTGGTGACAGGCAAGCCGATAAGCGAGGTGCAGAAGCCGGACCGTCAGCTGGCCAAGGCGGTCAACTTCGGCCTCATCTACGGCATGTCGCCCCACCGATTCAAGGACTACGCCGAGAGCGGCTACGGCGTCACCATGACCGAGGCTGACGCGCGCAAGTTCCACAAGGCCTACTTCGACCACTACAAGGGCATCACCAACTGGCACAAACGATCCAAGGTCACCCACACACACTCAGCTATCCAGCCCCCACCACACGCCTCTCCTCTCCTCTCACCCACCCCCTCATTCCCCTCTCTGAATGTCTGCCTTTCAGAGCACCCGCAACCGGGAGACGCGCACTCGGTCTAACCGTCGCGCGGTGTTCCCGACCTTTCAGTTCACCAAGAGCCTCAACTACCCGGTGCAGGGGACGTCTGCCGACATCACCAAGGAGAGCCTCGCCAGGCTGCCGCCCCTCCTCGAGCCCATCGGCGGTCGCGTGGTGCTCTGTGTCCATGACGAAATCATCGTGGAAGTGCCCGAACAACACGCACAAGAGGTCCGTCTGTATCAGATACACAGACAGACAGAGAGACTATTGGGTGTTGCTCGAGTGAGTGTGGTTGGTTGGTGATTTGTGTGCAGGCTTTGAGGATATTGGTGTCGACGATGGAGGCGGCGGGCGACTCATACCTGAGGCACGTGCCGTGTGTGGCCGACGGGGCCATCGGCGACAGCTGGGCCGAGAAACCATGACAGATGGATGGCCGGCCGGGGTGGCGAGGCGACGTGTGTCTGTGTAGAGAGAGACAGGCACAGGCAGGCCCGACAGAGGAGAGGAGAGGACAGATGGGAGGGACGTCGCAAACGGTGTGTGTATTTTTTCGTAGGCAGACAGAGAGAGCGACAGAGAGGAAGAGAGGCAGAGAGGCAGGCAGTGTGCGTGCGGACCAAGACCCATTGAGTGATTTATCGTATGTGGTGTGTTTAATAAGACATACAGACAGACAGACATCGGTGTGTGGTGCATAGCCTAGGGCGTACATATCTACGCCATGCAGACAGACAGACAGACAGGCAGACGGCGGCGGGAGCGCCTGTCTGCTTCCTGTTTGGTCAGTCAGTCAGTTACTGACTTCATCGATGTGTGTTCTGCGTGTTGAGACCTTCCTTAATTATCAATGTGTGTCGGTTCAACTCCTGTGAGAATGAGTGCACCAGGTATGTGCAACGGCCGCACAGCCGTGCAGACATGCATCACGCCCCGTGGTGTTGGTGGGATTGCGCGTCAAGTGTCGGTCAGCAACAGGTCGGCCGGCCGGCTGCACATACACATTGGGCTGTCTGTGCAATTCATTGACGAATGAATGCCGTCGGTTAACCACAGCTGGCCTGTCCATCATGACCGTCCGAAATCCATACACCGACCGATGGATGTAAGAAAACAGAAACCGGGCGTCCGTGTCCGTGTCCGTGTGTTTGTGTGTGTTGAATTAAATCAACCATCGATTGCCAACACTTTCATCCATCTACCCATCAGACAGACAGACAGACAGGCAGCGGAGACACACATAGGTAGTGTCACCCATCCGTATGATTATGCTAACAGTGTGCCGGCTAATTGTGTGGTGTGGTGTTTGGCCCTTCGGCTGGCGAGCTTGCCAACTACTCGCCATCCTTGAGGCAGATGTGGATGGTCGGTGACAAGCCATCTAGGGCCAGCACCGCCAACGGTTGAGGCCGTTTCGTTTCCGTGCACTTGAGGCCGGCCTTGCAGGGGTGCTTCTTCTTGATGCTGCACCGGTCCCAATGGTCGCCCGCCGCCTGCAACCATGCAGTCAACCAATCAGAGAGAGGGGGTTTCTTGACCTCTACCTTTCGCTTGCCTTGCATATCCCGACGGAGTGCGTGTGGAGGAACTCCTGGCTGTACACGTGCTTGTAACAGAATTGGCCCTTCTCCGTGCACTCGTCGTCGTCCTTACACTGGCCTGAAGCCACGGGGGTACGGACCCAGACAGACAGACAGAGAAACATCTCAATTTGACGCACGTCATCTGTCTGCCTGTCTGTCTGTACCTCTATTGATACGGGCCCGCTTCTCCTCCTGCTTCTCCCGCTTGTCCGCTTTGAACACAGTATCTTTGCCGCTAGCCAGTTTTCATCAGGTTCATCCGCTAAGGGATTCGGCTGATACGGATCCCACTCTCGACCCTGAAAACACACACGGAGACCCAGGAAAGCAGGAAGGCAAGACAACATGTCGTGTGTGGCATGGAGGGATGGATGGGCGTGCGCACCCGGCCCACAGGCTGGTCGGTGTCCATGGCTGCACACAACGCAACGCAACGCAACGTAACACATCCATCCATCCATCGATTCATCCATCGGGCAACAAACAAAGCAACACAAGCCAAATAAAATGGACAGTACACACGCACATATGCGCTGCATGCAAGGCCTCCGGTGCATCACACATTGTGTACCCATGGTGCCCGGCTCGATGCCCATGATGGCGCCCATGCGGTCCGCTATGTCATCGATGGTCGCCACTGCTGATGCCCTCAGGTCGTTGGCGGTGGCCTTGAGCGAGTCGGCTGCCGTGTAGAGTTTGGTGGCCGACTGCAGGATGGCCTTGCCGGTCTGAATCTGCTGCTGCAACACCGACAACTCCCCCACACCCAATGCAACACCTGCACACACACACACACACACACACAGTGTTCCACGGATAAGTCTGGGTGTTTTTACGTCCATGCGCACCGGCCACCCCTCCCTGCCCCCTCCCGGCCGCACCGTGCTTATTGGCGGCCATGGTCTGGATCTGCTCCTGAGTGCGGCCGACAAACGACGCACCTGCACACACGGGGCAGACAAGACAGTAACTTCCTCCTTAGTGAGTGAATGGATGGATTTGGATGGATGGATGGATACAACCAGGGGGATGGATAGATCTGCCCTTCTCGATGCATCCAGCCATGCAGCCTTGCCCCCTTACCGTTCCTCACCGTTTTTGTAGTCTTTGTGGCTGCTGGAGTTGCCAGCCGAGATGGATCCAAACCCGCCATCCGTGGCGCAGCTCGAATCCTCACAGCTGTCGTAGTCTTCCTCTGAAAAGACAACACAGCAGGCAGCGCAGCAGGCCGCGCACGTGTCGGCAGCCCAGGCACATCGTGGCTGGCGGTGGGGGCCCATGCAATCAACCTTGACGCTGCCTGAATCCCTCTGTGCTGGCTGCATAGCCCATGCTTACCGATGGCCGCGGCGGTGGTCGAGATCACCAGGAAGCATACGGCGAACGCTATAAGAGCCTTGAACGTCGTCATTGCGCAGATGTATCAAAACTCTGGGAAGGATAGGTCAGGATTTTGGATTTGTGGATTTCCAACTTTGACAGCCCCCGATGATTATGCTAACAGTGTGCCGGCTAATTGTGTGGTGTGGTGTTTGGCCCTTCGGCTGGCGAGCTTGCTAACTACTCAGGCTTGAGGCAGACGTGAACCATTTCCACGATAGGGACGACCGCCCATACGGTCGAGGTCTTTCTCTTGCACTTGAGGCCGGTGTCGCAGGGGTGCTCCTTCGACCAGGCAAATTTCTTGCCGCACCCGGCGTCCCAATGGCCGCCCGCCGCCTGCAACCGTGCAGTCAAGCAATCAGAGAGAGGGGGTTTCTTGACCTCTATCTATCGCTTGCCTTGCCTTTCCCGATTGTTTGCGTGTGGAGGAACTCTTGGTTGTGCACGTGGTGGTAGCAGAACTGGCCCTTATTCGTGCACTCGTCGTCGTCCAAACACTGGCCTGAAGCCACGGGGATACGTACCCAGACAGACAGCCACGCAGGCAGACAGACAGACAGACAGACAGAAAACATGACAATTTGACGTACGTCATCTGCCTGTCTGTCTGCCTGTCTGTCTGTACCTTTGTCCATACGGGCCTGCTTCTCCGTCAAACACGTGCACCCCTTGGATCCGGTCCACACACACCCGCCGCGGAAGCCGTCCTTAGTCGTGCACTTCTGATACTTGCACTCAGCCCTTGGGAGGCCCTCACACGTGACACACGTCGTCATGCGGCCTACATGCACACATACACACATACAAGATGCAGGTATTCGGCTGGGCAGTGAACGTACAGGCATACCGGTGTCTCCCAGGTGGGCAGGGGGCTGGGCCGGGGCGTGGGAGACCATCGCCTTCGGGGGTGGATTTGACAAAAGGGACGGAGGAAGGGGGAGGGGACAATGTGTGCAGCTGGATGGGGGGACTGTGTGTATGTGTGTGCGAGGCTCCGGTCTGTCCAGTCACTTAGTTACCGGCGTGTCGCTTCAGAAGTGCCGATAGCCGAGCAGAGGTAACTACACATTGCAATGCTGACTGATTCACGCATGGGTGCCGTCGTGAAAGCTGCGATTTCTCACCGTGCTGGTGCAAAGCTGTGTCGATGTGCTGGCGACGCGTACTGGTGGCCGTCACACACAGGGCGAGGGCACCGACGGCCACACACAGGGCGAGACAGGCAGAACGGCCAATCATCTCTGCACTCATCCCAGACAGACAGACAAAAGACAGACCAAGGGACACACACAGCAAAGAGGAAGCCGTCCAGTCACGCCTGCTGCGACTGTCAGTCTGTCTGTCCGCTTGCCTGTTGTGACTCTTGTGCGTTGAGACGGGGGCTCAGCGCTCGGGACGTCGAACCGAATGAATGGATGGATGGATGGATGGCTTGACGAAAGGTTCAGAATCACTCATTGTACCAAACAAAGGGGATGAACGAAGAAGAGAGGGGGGGGGGGGG